TCCACATAACTTGTCGGGCAGACACAAATCTCTTTATCTAACCTGATGGTACAAAAGGAGACCAAGAAGATGGGTACATTATGTTTGTGTTGTGACAGCAACATCATAGAGATCTTTGGAAGAATCCTAGGTAGAAACCAAACACTGTCAAAAAGCTCATAAAGAAGAACTGAACCCAGTTCATTACAGCACCCATCTCCTGAACCCAACAGGACCCATTTGGCTAGGTTTCACAGGAAGTTGTGGACAGAGTGAGGTGGTTCAGGTCAGACATGAGTGGAAGAGCACAGTGATAAACTTATACTTTACATGATCAGTGATTTTTCCTTTGCTCCTTGTGCCGTTCCTTGGGATGAAAACCAAATGTGGCTGCTACCTATTAGGTGGGAAGAATGAGCATCTCCTTCACTCTACACAGCTGAGCAAAACAAGGTGAACATCACTTCACATGGGGCCTCATTTCTACAGTAAGACAGACTGTAAGGCACTTCCATACCTCAGGCAGCACTTTTGTTCCAGGCTGATCCCACTGAACTCGAGTCCTGCCAGGCTCTTCCCCCAAGTCAGGCAGTCAAAGTTCAGCAGGTGCTGGTCTGTCCTGCTAAGAAGAGCTCATCCCTCCTTTGTGTAGATGGGAGTAGATGTCTTTCCCAGAGGAGGTAACCCAATGAAAGGGCCAAGTCTCTAATATTCATTTTGTTGTTACTCAAGTGCATGAAAAGGTTTCTACCATCTCTCCAGCAGCATATCAGAGCACTCCCACATGAGGCAGAGAATAGTGATCTGAGTAGCCTTAGTGGGGGGTGTGCTGCAAAAGTGTGTCTATCTTCAACTTCCATATATAAAATTCATTTAGGGGCCTGTAGCTGTTATCAACTTGGCCTGAGCAAGGTCATGTGATAAAAAACAATTTTTCACACTGAAAATATGAAGATATGTGTTTATGTTTACAATTGCTAAAAGTCTCACCCTCCTTTGCAAGGAAGATTTTCTTTGTTGGAATTTGATTGTCTTACTGGAAGGCAAACCGAAAAAGATAAATGATCTAGCCTCCCTTGGCTGAATCCTCAGCAAAGGCATATTTGTAGAGCTCAGAAAAAGTCAGCCAGCATTCAATCTGTAGAACCTGATCTTTGTTTATATCAAGCTGTCAGCTTCTTTGTCTTCAGCTAGGCTGGAAATGTAAGTGGTTTATCATTATGCTATTACGTGGTATTACAGTAATGAAATTATATCAAAACTTATCCATAACCAAATGAAACGACAATTCAATGGTTCGGTTCAATCCCTCCATCAGGTTTCCTCTTTTGGCTACTGTGTTTCACAGGGTGTTCTCTAGGGAGAGAAGGAAAGGAGAAGGCAAAGCATGGGAATGTCATGACAGAAGGTTACAAGGCCTAAGAAATCCAAGGTGGAAAACCAGAACCTACATGGAAGTCTCTTGAGTCTGGCAGTGAAAAAAACCCAGAAGAACACAGGCAAATGCAGGCTGGTAAGTGGCACAATATTTCATGAAGTATGAGTAATCACTGGATGCAATAAAGCCATGTGCGGCGAGTTTTCCATCAGAAATAACTGATTACTTAGAAAGAACCTATTCTGAACGAATCAAAATGAATAGTTATTGAAGAAGTAAGAGTGGGTGATTTCACAGACCCCTCCTAGCCTGATCATCTCTACATCTGACTGCTTAAAGCCTAGATTAACTAACACACTTCGGTATATGTCTATTTTAAAGCAATTTAGGCCAACAGGATGAATCAGTTACACATAATTACAGACATAATTTATGACCAAAGGCAAGAAAGAGAAAGTGGTTTTGGTCTACTAATGACTGTTGGTACTTTGGGCAATATGCTGCGTGGCTATGTGGCCATCAGACTCTGCCATTTTTACCCCTCTAGAAAATTCAAGGTCCCTGCAGTGCTTTGTTTCCCACTGGAAAATCCCACAGTGTGCTGTTGGAGGGCCAGCCTTCTCCGAAGCTCAGTCTACATGCTTCTATAAGAGCCAAGGGACCCCATCATGTCTAAGAACAAGCCTAATCAGTTTGGGCAGATGGAAAGAGGAGAAGGCATGAGGAACATTTGTAAAGCTACTACTGGTGACTTTGGTGAGGGACAAAGGGCCTGCCACCTTGCACAGGTCCTGGGATCAATGATCATTTAAGCCTGCTACATTTAGTTATGAAAAGAAGCCTTGCTTGCCAACTCAGACATGAAAACAGGCTGAGTTTTTCACCCAAGCAGCAAGACTTTTCTTTCCCCCAGGAGCTGGTTTATCAAGAAGGAAGGACCAAGGAATTCAAGGAGGCTACAGGTGCCACACACCACTCTGTAAACGTCATCCAGCACATGGCGCATGTTCTGGCTCACATGACGGCTCAGTGATGTTCATCACATGTATTTTGGCTGCATTGGCCCTGAAATGCTTACTGCTGCATTCTCAGGTTCTGTGGCCCACAGAAATGCCCAACAAACCTAATTTTTCAGGGTGTTCATGTTGAACTCAATGGTAATCCCAAACTATTTGAGTTTACAATGGCATAGATTTAACACTGTAACAGGTTTCCCACACAAGTTAAAATGAAGTAAAAATGCTATTGTGGCAAAGCCTATGAACAAGGATTTATCAGTTAAATACATACCTACATGTAGTGGAGTTCCTACTTGACTGGAGTATTGACACATTTGTTGGTGGAGAGCTTAAAATATTTTTGTGTGGATGGTGCATAAAACATAATTTTAAGTCTTTTTATTGCAACAAGTAATGCCAAATTCAGAAATTTGGTCCCTTTATCAGCAACGCTGGGAGAAGTCTCTGTTCATTTGGATTTTATAGCCCCAATTCTGATCTGGAAGGGAAGTGTCTTTATCGTTTTTTTCCTTAAACAAAGTAAGTATAGTACTTTCCCTTCTAACAAAACATTGTTATTGCTTAGGTTTTGCCCTCTTCTAAAACAGCAACAGTGGTGAGAGAATCCAGTAAATTGAACTGTTTGTTCAAATCTCTCCTAAGACTGAATGAGCTCAAGGCTATACCTAGCCATTATACACAAAACCTTCAGTAAATTGTCTATTAGGCCCGGGGTATATGAACAAGCACCAGGTCTCCCAAGTCAAAAATTTATCCTGCAATTTCAAAGCACAAATCAAGCCAACTAAATCCACATAAACACAATGGATTTTATAACTATTTCTGCAAACAGATGAATATTAGGAGAAGCATTTTGACTGCATTTCATGTTGGTATTTTTTCCCTATGGCTTAAAATGTTGTCCAAAATGTTTGGCCAAGATGGGTGAAGATTTTGCAAGAGGTATGCTCAGACTATTGCAGCAGAGATAGATTTGTTTCACATATTTTTATAACCCTTGTGTATAATCCAGCTATTCATGCTGAGCTGGCATTTAACATGAAAATCCTTTGATGGGGAGAAACACACGCAATGGTGGTAGCCATGGATCTACCTGAAAGCACACTGACTTCCAGGAGCTGTGTATTTTGCAGGACAAAGTCCTGTATTTATACACCAAAGTATTTCTGGATGGACGGTTGAAGCAAACCCTTCTCACAGCTTTCTGCAGTCGTGTCTCAGTCACAACCCAGTGCAAACTCCCCCAGGGGTGAGAGGTTAGTCCAAACTCAGTGGCTTATTGGGCTGTTGGCTCCAAGCAATTATTTATTCCAGTCTATATGTCATTCCAGCCATTCATGAACCTTCACAATAAAACCCGATTGCTAGAGAATACAGATCCCAGTGAACCACAGAGGGGATAAAAAAGAGGGTCACTGCAATGGGAATGTGTTGTGTTGCAGACAGCTCTCAGGGAAAAGTTGAGAGCAGGCTGCTCTTATCAACTGGGGGGTGCTCAAGCAGAAAGGTCACCCTAACAGCAGGGACACGATTCAGGGTAAGGATACAGAAAAGCCAGAAGGCAAGGCAGAAATTGGGTGGATGGAAAAGAGTCTTTTTTTTTTTTGGTGCTGTATGACATAAAAAAACAGGTCCAGAAGGGATCTGCTGGACTCCCAGTCCCCTGCTATTACCAGCAAGCAGCTCATCTAACGTTGTGAATTTATTATGGAGGGTTACTTTTTGGGTTTTTGGATGACTTCTGATCACATCTCTTTAATTTCGTGATTTCTATTTCCTGCCTAAATTTATTCATGACTAGTGTCCTCTTACATCAATATGGGCCTTTAGATAAAGAGCTCTTCTCCCTCCCCAGTGTTTGCTCCAGCTGACAGCACTGAGTTCGAAAGTGAAAAAAAAATATCCCAACTCCTTTATTCATTTATCATCCCAGTGGTAAAATCTTACAGTTGCAGACAGCGAGCATGGGATACAGATCCAGATGAAGAATAGACAATGATGTCTATACACTGGTTTCCTGCATGAACTCCTGCAGAGGTCTGGTCATTTCAACCAGTGGAGCCCAGAGAACCATCCAAATACAGGTGCCTTCTTCCAGGCAAGGTGAAGAGCTCTCCAGACTCCAGTGAGTACATTAATTAGAGCTCGACTGACTATGGTTGCACTTTACACATGTAGCTCATGTATAGGTACTTACTCCATAGATACCTAAAGTTAGTTACGTGAATCTGGATCTGACTCCCACCCTCACTGAAGGGAAAGGTTTTCTTGAACTGCTAAACACAGGACTGCAAGCCTCCTTTGACAAGGATATCCAAGAAATTAGCAAGGGACTGGGAGATGGACACAGGACTGACAGGAGCCTCAAAATCTTGTAGAGCCCCAGTTGTGGGTTTGACCTCAGAAGGGACCAAATAACTATAAATTTTTGACTTTGCTAATTTATTTTATGCCTTTTCCATACATTTTAAACTGCATCAATCATGTTTTTTCTTTCAAATGAGAATAAATTTTGAAATCTTCCCGAACTACTGTCTCACATGCATTTGCAAGATAATTTTTGGTGCACTGTTTAAGAGGGGCAACAGAATTAAGTGGAAACTTCAGTGTGCCCAGTTACTTACTGAACTCACAAAGCAGTGTTCAGATTCTCCACTTTCGAAGAGGATGACATCTTTTATGAAGACTGCAATGGCTCTCATTATGAAGGACATGAAGAGGTGCATATGAATATAATTCCGAGTACAGTGTAGCTTTCTGTTGGGAAGAGATGAAACAACATTTCTGAATAGCAAGGCTTCTCAAAAGGATTATTTACCTATGTACATGTTTCTTCTGCCAAGATACAGACTTACAATTAAACATTAGAAACCCTGAGACAGACTATGTTCTTATGTAAATCACAGCAAATCCACTTAAGCTTTTTTAAATACACAAAACATGTAGCAATTCATACATCTGAAGAAGTGTTGCTGCTTTTCCAGTTCTTAGAAAAAAAAAAAGTCAAAACACTGAATGACAGAAAACAGGTCCATCACACTGCTCTCCACTGGAAAATAAATGTTTTTGAGCAAACTATGCTCTCAATAAAGGTCTGTTTTCTACAGAATGTTTGTACTGCAATAATTCCTTTCAAAGTGAAATGTTTCTTCAGGAAGAAAAATAAATTCTTAGCAGCTGCTGCCAAAATTAACGTATATTGCAGGCTTTTTGGAGCAATATGATCTATATTTTAACTTAAAAATTACTAGTTATTAATGATACTGAGAATAAGACCAGGGTTTTTCTGTCCCTTGCCCACAAATATTTTGAAGATGAATTCTGATCAAGTAGGTCTTTTTTTTCAAGTGAGACTTCACATCAGCTGAAGTGAAAGGCCTTATACTTTGTGCAATCATCAGAACCACAACAGATCTCACTCAGCAACATGATCAAACTGCTACCTCTTAATGAGTCACTGTGCGCTGGCAAAGTTTATGCTCTTAATCTCTGACGATGGCAAGATAATGTGACCGAGCTGAGTCCTCTGTACTTGCAGGCAAAGGCAAGTCAAATTACACTGTTTCCCACAAATGAAGAGTATGAACCCTGGCAGTTTCACCAGCTTGGCTGGCACCTTGTACCTCGTTACAATGAGATAATTCGCATGTGTGTCTGATATACTCTTCCCTTGTAAGAGGAGTGGAGAGAGTGTGTGCTGAGAAGTGCAAAGATCTTAAAGGGGGAGGTCAGTCTTGGTGTAAGTGTGAGAGTTACCTTAGAACGTATGCTGTTTTTCTACAGCTTTCTTTGGAGATGATATCTGGACCAGACTGTCATAAATTGGACAACAATGTAATGCATTTCGAGGAAGCCACTGGAGAGCGGCATGAGAAGATGGAATCACATCTAGAAAGATTCTTCCATCTCACAGAGATCTGCTTTTTGCTGTTCTCTCTATACATAAACAACATTATAATAGATTACCTTATATGCAGACTTCTTCATCGGAGGCACCCACATTTAGATGCCTGAATCTATTATAAATGATACTGAGGATTAATTCATTTGCTGCAATCTAGGCATCTAATATGCTGTAATTTGACCATCAATCCATAAGGATCTGGGTCTCCTGAAGGTCCTGCATCATATCTGCTATGCCTGTGCACATCTCAGAGGATTCAGCACGTCTAAAATGGCTGTGGGCGTCTATGTCTTGCCACAGAGCTGGAGCAGGAAGCACTTCTGAAATAGTCTTTGAGAGACAGTTTTGGGGTGTGATTCACCTGTACCATTTTGAATACCTACTTTAGTAGAAATGCATCATTCCATTGCATCCATATATACAATACCGATTAGGTCTCTGTGAACTATAACAAGATTATGGGATGCCTCTAATACAGAGATCCATCATGTAACATTATACATTTAGCAGCTAAATGAATCCCACCTAAATAATTGGATTGAGGTTGTAACAACTATCACACAGAGGCCACAAATCACATACCAGAAACTGTGGTACCAAAAGAAAGAGGAACTTTTCTCCCCTGTCCAACTGAGACTTGTCAGAAGTCTTTTGCATCCATCTGTGACACTCATAGCCTGTAACTTAAACAGCCACTATGTCCTTTGAGTCATCCCCTTACCTAAGACTTTTTTGCTCACGGTCTTACCTGAAGATACATAAAATGATCATAGCAGCTGTGAGAGCAATGAGCGATAAGGTATGTCCAATGGTGTAGCCGGTCTTGACTGTGCCATAGAATGCTGTTTGCTAATGTGAAGGAAAGAAACAAAACAGGTCTTTCAAAGAGCTGCCAACGTGCCCTCCTAAATACACCATCAGTGAGTTTTCAGTGACTTTCTTGGCGAGACAAGGAAATCATCCTACTCCACTCTTTCAAAAAGATCTCCAACTCCTTCACCCTTTAAAATCACATCCAGTAGAGTACATGACTCAAATATCACCAGTATGAATAAGAAGAATGTGTCCAGTTTCAGTAGTTTGTACCACTCCAAAAACAGATTACAGTTACACAAGAGAAAAGTTCATGCAGAAAGGAGTCAGAATTGACAACTTGCAGAGACAGCTACATGGTTCCAATCTTGTGGAACAAGACTGACTAATGTTCAGTCAAACAGCACACTGACACATCAACTCTGAGGTGGTTAGTATGATGAGCTTTGTCTTACTAAGGAAGTCTGAGGACAGAAGAGGTCTGGAAATTGGTTTGCTTTTGTGGAAGCTAGACATTGTGTTTTGGCAAGCAAAGCCTTAAAATGTTCTCATTGAAATTACAGATATGTTAATTCAGAAATATATGTTAAATTGGAGATTACTTCATGGTATTTCTCTTTGACAACACACACAGGGAATCCCTGATCATGGGCCACCACAGGACTTAAATCCATCGCAGTCTATAGGCTGTTTGGAAATTAATTTCCATTTTTTAATGTGATTTTCATTGTATATGATTTAGGAATAGTACCTTCTCGACAGGTGTACTGTTATATATTTTTGAAAAGCTCATGTTATGAACTTTCATGCTGTATAATTAAATTATATTATAAACTGATTTTTGACAAATTTTGGAGGTTTGAAGTTCAGATGTCAAAACAGCAATTTAGACAGATCTACTTCTACGAGTTCAAACTTGGATGTAATGCAGTGCAAGCTGCTCGAAGCATCAATGAGGTATATGGCCAGGGAAGTGTAAACGAATGGACAGTGCAACTTCGGTTCCAAAGATTTTGACATGGCGATTTTGACCTTGAAGATCAAGAAGGTCACGGACATCCTTCTACTATTGAGGACGATGAATTGAAGGCTCTGGTGGAAGCAGATACACGCACAACTGTTTGAGAACTTGCAAAAGAATGCGAGGTAAGCATATCAACTATTTCTGAGCATCTGAAGAAGATTGGAAAGTCGAAGAAGCTCGACAAATGGGTGCCGCACGAATTGAATGAGAATCACAGAAATCGTCGTTTTGAAGTGTCGTCGGTGCTTCTTTTTCACAATCAGAATGACCCGTTTCTTGACCATATTGTGACATGCAACAAGAAATGGATGCTCTATGATAACCGGTGACAATCGGCTCAGCGGTTGGACTGCGATGTAAGCTCCGCAGCACTTCCCAAAGCCGAATCTGCACCAAAAGAAGGTCATGCTGACTGCCTGGTGGTCTGCTGTTGGTTTAATCCATCACAGCTTCCTGAATCCGGGTGAAATGATCACGGCGGTAAAGTACGTCCAGCAAATCAATGAAATGCACCAGAAACTTCAATGGCTGTGCCCAGCACAGGTCAACACAAAGGGTCCAATCCTTCTCCACGATAACACGTGGCCACACGTTGCACTTTCGACGTTGCAACAGTTGAAGGAGCTGGTCTACGAAACTCTGCCCCATCCACCGTACTCATCAGACCTCTCGCCCACCGACTATCACTTCTTCAAGCTTCTCAACAGTTTCCTGTACGGGAGACACTTCAGAAACCAAGGGGAGGCCGAAACTACCTTTGATGACTTCATCGCCTCCAGAAGTCCAGAATTTTATGCAAGTGGAATAAATATGCTTGTTTCTCGTTGGAAAAAAATGTGTTGATTCTAATGGTTTTTATTTTGATTAATAAATTTTATTCTGAGCTGAGATATGCCACTTCAAACATACAGGTTGAAATCGGCAATTAATTTCCGAACAGCCTTAAATAAAATGGGGAAGTAAAGCAACAGAACTCCGGTTCTCCTAAGGCTCTCCAGCAACACTCTAAATCAACATATTCTGATTTTGAGCTTAAAAAAAGGACAGATCAGTTGGTATTTGAACATCTGTTTTATCAATGAAAAATCCAAGTTTTTATAAGAATCTAACTTTGCAGAAAATCTTATTTTTCCAGCCCTTGGTTGACCCTCCTCTGCCCTCCTTGTCACCATTTTCTATAAAAAGCCCAAACAATCAAAACCATAGAGAGCTGTTTAGACAGAAAATCTAAACCCAACCTTGTTTGGGAAAACAGTCTTTAATAACAGCAAGGATTGACATTTTTATACACTATTTTCATAGGACTTGACAAGTACTAGGTACTTTACAGAACCAATGAGGCTGAGATGAGGAGTAATCCTCCAGCATTTGCACAAGCCAGCATGGAGGGGTGTTAAAACAAGACAGAGCTTTCAGAAAGGGCAAAGGCTACACAGGTCGTATCTATATTGCTTCTTAGACCACAGATCTTGGAGATGGCTAGAAGCACAGTGTCTTTACAGACCCACTCAATGAATCCACATCACTAAGAGCTTTGGGTCAGTAACTGAAATATGTAATTCACAGCAAGGGTTTCAGGCTAATTTATCTACCCAGTCCTGCCTATATGACGCCAGGAGGTTGCTGTGGTGATGGAGTCAGTATGGTATGGCCATATCTGAGTCTCGCTCAACTGCACTTCATGAAGGTACCTGCACTGCAGTAAGAAACAGCAGAGGTTCCACCTTTCTACCCCATGCTCTTGCAGATTTCACTCAAAGTTAACTAAATAAAGCCTTGTTTCCAGTCTTGTTTGAGTTTGGGTTCCCAAAGGCAGCTGAGACCTTTTGAATAAAAGCAGTCAACTTCCTTCATGTTGATTTAGTCTTTCTCTCATTATCTAGTTTCCTTCTTGATGGCACCAGAGCAGAAGTGTTCCAGGAAAGACATGGCCAGCAGAAGGAGGGAGCACATGGTAGGGGACTGAGCTTGAGGAACAGGTTGCCCCACACTATATTTAGGAGAGCAGAGAAATGGGAGAAAGAAAATTAAGAGATATCGTAGGGGATGTCAGTAGTGGGGTGATGGATGGAAATTCTCCAGTGCAAATACTGGTTTAAGCTTTTTGCTTCTTAGTTATTCACTGAAGCCAGGTATGCACAGAAAGAACTTGGTGCTCAATTCAACAAGCCCTAATATATTAAAATGACTAATACTTCTTGTGTACAGAGATGGCTCTGCATTCAGCCTTAATGTAGCATGTGGGGTCATCTCTATTCTGGAAACAGTTCATGATGACTTCTCACTCTTCATTTGCACTTGCTAATGATAATCACTTCCCATTTTACAGATATCAAAGCAGAGGATTTGACCCAAGATCATAAATGGAATTGGAATTTCACTCAGCACTGATTACTAAAATATTCTTATTAGAAGAAAGAGGAATTTAGAGAGTGAAGGAAATGCATGCCAGATGCCTGGGTTCTAGCTGCAGACCTAGACTGATTTATGAAATGAAATTAGGCAATTTCATCATTCTCTCTCTGACTTCTAAAAGTGTCTGCTTAATTTCACAGGAACATGATAAGAACAGCTACTTAAGGTAGATGCTAAACTGAGATAATCTGAGAATTATCTTCCTTGGTTTCTGTTCAGTAACCTCTATATTTATTCCTTGGTAACTGAGATTAGAATGTGAAACATTTACATTTGTAAGAGAAAAAGAACAGTAATACTGACATGAAGTCTTTCAGTAGCCTTGCACCCAAACATAGTTTGGATTCATGTCACCCAGCCTAAAGTCATCTGGACTCCGTCTAGAGTAAATGCAAAGAGGTCCCTATGGAGAGAAATGGGGGGTGAACTGACCTCTGGAGGTGTCTATTTTCTTCACCATCTTTAGACAAAGCCTATGGGGACACCAGGGTGGCCCCTCTCTGATCAGATGGAGGCACACAAGGAAGAAGTTGTGCATCACATCTGACAACGGGACAGCAAAACAACCCCCTCATTTGCTAATACATGTGTTTTAAAGGTCAGGCTGGAGAAGGAATCATTATCACTGCAAAGATCAAAAGTGCACTGCTTTGGTGCCTAGATCATCTGATTCTTAGGGACTGCCACAAATCACAACTGAAATCTTGCACACACCACTTATTTATTTCTCATATTTTTCTTGTTTCTGACTTGCGACCAGTAGGTGTTGAAAGTGCATGAAGTGTTTTAAGCATGGAAGGTCATCAGTCTGTTCTGGACCTCATGTTCCATACAGCCTGCTGTTCTGCTTTTTTTTTTTTTCTATTCCATTTACTTCTTCCTCCCCAAACTGACAGCCAATTCAACACCAACAAAAATCTATTCTTCACAGGCTAGTACTGCATGTTCACCCCCCTCAGCCACCTTTCACACAAATTAGACTTAAACAGCATGACAAAACCACGGAAATTGAGAGAAAATAATTAAGAAAGAATTAAAAGAACACAATACATGTTCTCTTGGTAACGCGGCACTCTGGCAATCCATTGGGTCGTGAAAGCATGTCCCAGGAATTCCCAAATCCCCTTTGCAGCTGGAACATAAACCAGAGTTCTTGATGAAGGACCTTCCCAGAGCAGAGCCGTAACAACAGCTTTCACAACGTGCAATTGGTGCCACACAGCTCAATCTGAGAAACAGAACACTTGAGGATGTGAAGTGGTGGCTGACCTCAAAGGCAGACCAAGGCTCTCTTCAGTAGAGTCCTGAAATTCTTTGTGAAACTTTCCCTTTGCTATTTTCTGTATTCTTTCACTATTAAGGCTGGCTTAGTTCTGTTCAGATTCTCCGTTAACACTTTGAGTGCCCTGGTAATGGCCAACCTGACACAAAGACTTCTCGCCATATATATTTACTCATTATTGAGATTCCTGTGTCCAGCATTCACAAACACTGACATATGTCATACAAAAGAAAAAAAGCATGGGCATAGGTTTAATATAAACATATGGTTGCATTGAAATATTTTTTTAGCATAAGCTTTCCTCATTGACTATGGGACAGCTAGAGGTGACTAGTTTAGATTAGATGTTAAACTGTTTAGTTAGGTGAGGTGAATCTTGTTTCTAACAATATTTATTATCCTCTTTAGACTTTACCCTTCATGTCTCGGCATTCGCATTCAGCAAACCAATAACAAAGTCCTTCATGTGTAATGACAATGCTCTATAAAGCTAATTGTACCTAGGTCAGTAATTACTAATTTACATACAGGCAGTATCCCAGACACCTTGAGGATTTCCTTACAAAATTCAGTAACATTGCAGGAAAATGTGTGTGTTCCCTACAGTTTTCTAGATCTTCAGCTGGTTGAGATCAGCAGAGCAGCACTAATGTCAAGTGACTTGTACACTTTTATCCCTTTAGATGCTTATTATGTTGGCCTAGAAATACTGGAATCACCACGTCTACTTAAGGACAAATAAAAATATGGACGGCTTGTTTCAAAGTTGAACATGGAAAATCAAGCACCTGAAGTTATGTGTGGGCACCACAGAGACACTGGTCTGATCTTCTCAGGTGCTGATTTCCTGCCACCTCCCTGGAAGTCAAAGGGAGGGTCGTCTCTTTCACCAAACATTTGATCTCTCCTTCCAGGGATCCTCAAGAGGATCCTTCTTTCTTGAGGAATCAGAGTGGGAATAGAAAAAATTGGGTGTGGGAACATCATATGATTCTGATATCAATCCCTGGTAAATCTTGATGTCTACCCATCCACGATTACAAACCTCCTCCCCTGGAGTGCTGTTGGAATCATATCCACAAGCTATGGCATATGGCTCAGGGTACACATCTGTCCAACCCTGGCTTGTACAATTCCTGGTTACATTCCCTGAAAGAAAAGAGGAAAGGATGATTTAAAAAGATATGTTCAGGTTAAACAAATGTCTGCCCTTTATTGATTCAAACGCCAGAGCACATGTAACACTTAGGGTAAAATTCTCATACTTCTGTTATGAAGTGTTCGTATTACACAGAACACATAAATCGGAGAGACCTATTGGGCTATAAAGTTCAGATCTCAAAAAACAAGTACATTTTAATACTGAGGTACCCACAAAACATTTCTTCTAATGGTACCATAATGCCAGTTGTACCCGGACCTTTGATTGTTGACACTGCACCAATATTGTTTGAGAGAGTTACTGTCATATTGCCTTTGTTCCTGGAAAATTTTTCATCTAAACAGAGCAGTGAAGTATGCATGTCTTTCACTTCACTTGTGAGAAGAAAAGAGAGGTATAGATAAACCGCTCATTTCACATTACGCAGGTAAGGTTAGAGGTCTGGGAACTCAGTGAAGTCCTCAAAACCCAGACCTTGCCTCCAAGATGAGCCCTTATCAAATGTGATTCCTGGGAAATCTACTGCACTCTTGTTTGAGAGCCAAACACTTCAAAATTTGGCTATGAGGGGAGAAAAAACAGATACTGACAACCTGTATTGCCTGTTTTAACATGTATACCCAAAGGCAGGAAAATTTCCTGGACTCTTAAGCAAGCTAAGTGCCTAAGGCCTCCAACTGCCTGAAAAGACCCTTAATTAACATAAGGATGTCTCCCTCCTTCAGCAACTGACAAAACTGTGATGTTCACATGCCTCTCTGCTACTCTGCACTTTCTGGTCCATCTGGGATTGCAAGGGGGCTGTCCAGTGCAAAGCATTTCTCACTTTGTAAGACATCTCTGCTTTCTGTCCCAGCTGGACCTCAAACCCACATTGGCTAGGGGCTATACAGATATTAATAAAGCGAAAGAAGGAACGACCAACAATCTGACCAGGATAGGCCTTATCCTAAATGGTTCGTAGTCTAAATGGCCAAGATAGATGTTTGTCAGACAGAAATGGCAAAGAAGCAATACATCCAACAGTACATTGCAAATTGCCCCAGCACCCACTCTGACCACTGGTCTGTACTCTATCCATCTTACATGAATCATGTCACTGTGTCATTTCTTTGGCGTCATAGAATCATAGAATGGTTTGGGATGGAATGGATCTTAAAGATCATCTAGTCCCAAACCCCCTGCCCCAGGCAGGGACACCTTCCCCTAGCCCAGGTTGCCCAAAGCCCCGTCCAACCTGGCCTTGTACCCTTCCAGGGAGGGGGCAGCCACAGCTGCTCTGGGCAGCCTGTGCCAGTGTCCCACCACCCTCACAGGGAAGAATTTCTTCCTTACATCTAATCTAAATCTTCCCTCTTTCACTTTAAAGCCATTACCCCTTGTCCTATTACTACATGTCCTTGGTAAAAAGTCCTTCATTTATCACACTAAACTGCCTACCATCCCTGACTGGAAAGCTGGTCTAATAAACCAGAATGAATAAACAGTAGTCAAAACTACTGAAGAATTACATCAGTGAAACTCAAGAGCTTTACAAAAATTTCAAACAATGGAGTTCTTTGCACAGAAGAATAATAAATCTTCTGCAAACAGAAGGAAATCAATTATGTGATTATGAGTCATGAAAATATTCAGTATCACCTCCAGAAATTTCTGACAGTTGCGTCATCTGAACACCTTCCTAACCTGTCCTGCACTGAAATCAGCAGCTATCCCCTGGCTTGTCACTTCTTGAATCACTGTGACAGGTGGATTTTGACATTAAAACTTATGCCTGTAATTTGTCTTTCCAACAGATCTAAACTCCATGGAGGCTCTGGTGCATTTGTCTATTTTAACAGATGCTACAAAAGAAGTTAACTTTGGCACAGTTTGGTGGGTTGCTGATCCCCAGGCTTTTTCTGGACGGTCATTGTTTGCTTTTCTTTTTACCAGGATTCATATCAGATTCATATCAGTCATAAGAGTTCTTGTGCAAACAAATCAAGGACATGATTGTTCAGTACTTTTTTTTTTTTTTTTTTTTTTTTTTTTTTTTCATTACAATGGATCCCATTATCTGAACTTTTCTGCTTCCTTCTTCCTACTCAAAAGTCCTCTCTGGGGATGCCTTTAGCTTACATGGTGGTTTTAATTCCTTGCTTCTTAATCTCAGTGAACTAAGGGGTGCTTCTTTAATCTTAATTTTCTCCTATTTCTTAATTTTAAGTGCACTTTCACACAATTGTTTGATTTTTTTTTTTTTTTTTTTAATTCTTCTCACTGCTCTCAAGAATCCTTTAGAAGTTGTCTTTAATGATTTGGCAGATGTGGAATCTAAGGTAGAGGCTAACATAATGCTACAGCATCACTAGGATTAAGTAATAATAATAGAAATGTCCCTGATTTTAAGAAAACTCACTGCCTAGGGAATCTTTTCTACCACTCTTTGCTGCTCATGTCACTTTTTAATGTGCAAATTCACACGCATGTTGTGATATGAGAAACCTTTCTAATAACTCTCATGTTCCATACTAGATGTCTGGGAGGTGCAAAAAGCACAAAGTTAGTAAATACAGATTTTACCACATCACAATTTTGTCTCAAGTAATGGATGATGTCTCTCCTCAGAGCAAAAAACATTTCTAATTACTGCTACTTACCAAATTACGTTCGATACTGAAAATGAACGTAGAATTTGGAAAAGTGTCTCACAAGTTTAGTTCTTACTCTGAAGTTTACAGGCAGCAAACTTTAGTCTTATGTATTAAACTGAGATTTTTATGTTACAAGGTCAAATTCCAGCTCTGCCACAGGCCTGCAGTGAAAAAGGAGGTTCAAGTCCCTGCTGTGAACAGAGTCCTCTTGCTAGGGTGGTATTAGTTAACATCCATGAAATAATCTGCCTTTTGGGGGGGTTGTATTACATTTTGATCAGAGATGTCACAATTGTCAAACTGGCATATCTACTCCTAAGAGCCACATCCATTCTGATGAGATGAGGTTTTCCATTTAAAAAACACCCAACCAAACCCATTTGAAAAAGCCACAACTAATGTCCATTTATGATAACAATAACCTCATAACATGTCTTATCAGAACTCAGCTTCCTGCTTTCACAGAATCACAGAATGACTGAGGGTGGAAGGATCCCCTAAAGGTCATCTGATCCAACCCCCCTTATCAAGCAGGGCTACCTAGAACTGGTTGCTCAGGAGCATGTCCAGATGCCTTTTGGATATCCTTGGAAACCTCCAAGGTCAGAGACTGTACAACCTCTCTGGGCAACCTGCTTCAATGCTTGGTCACCCTCACAGTAAAAAAGTGTTTCCTTATGTTCAGATGGCGCCAGTTTGGCCATGGTTAGAGAATGCAAAGGCAATTTGAAAGTCCAAGAGGGTCTCATTATTTCAGAAGTGCATTTTGTGAAGGGAGCCTTGTGTGTAACAGAAGTCCTCTCCTGGGTGCTGTCCCACGGTCCCCCGAGGACTCCCTTTTGAGAGTCTGTTACTGATGCTGCAGTGACATACTGCTCTCCAGCTCATCCCCAACGACTCTGTGTGGGGCAAGAGGAGGTAACTAGGCTAAACTGTTTTCATTGTAGGGTAAATTAAGTGAAATCTCTCCCTGGCTGTCAAAGGTGTAAATCATGCATGTTGGGAGCTACCCTGGCTCAGCTGACACACAACAACTGCTAAGGTGCACTAACACAACTGTGTATTTGAGTCTTGAGCAAAGCATCATGGGCAGGCAATTAGAGGGATCTCAGCACCGCACTCCTTCACTGCTGTCTTCTCTCTTTGCAGCTATGAGGACAAAGGAGTTTAAAGATAAGGTTTCAAACGGAGTAACGTGATGACCTTTTCATAAGGCTCCCTGCCAGAAGGAAGGGATGGACATACAAAGGGGAGAACCAGGAGGGGAAACTAAGCAGTCAACCTTCCAAAAGTATGCTAAGATATAAAAGTCACTGATTGCAGAACGGAACTACAAGTGTAAATATGAGGCTAGACCTCTGGCTCATTTATATCAGTGTTTATGACAGTCAGTGCATAAAACACTATTGAAAGGCAAGGGGTGAAGCTGCAGGTCTGAATAACCAGTTTTCAGCTAGTTTTATTGCAACAGTGCCTTAAAGGCTCTTGCATAGCATGACGGTTTATAATTGTTTAATCAAAAATACCCCATTTCTTGTTCCAGCCCAAGACATGAGCTCTGTCTCTTTGCAGATGTATTGACCACAGAAGTACAAACACGTTAGTGGCTTCAGGTCAAGCCCCAGTGAGATCAGCAGGGTCTCTCCTGAGCTCAACACCAGCCAGTCTGCAGCATGCTAAACGCTGCCCAACTGCAAACTTAAACAGACAGGATGGGCCATGCGAGCCAATGTAAACTGTTGAATATGTATGTATAATAAAACAGCTCTTCCTCTGCCTGTGTTCCTTGAAAATCTGCTTACAGTGTGCCACAGTGATTAATGATCATGTACACAAAGCCTGAGGAGAGACTGTATTCCTCCATACACTTTTGCATCTTTCTAGTATCACGTCTGCCTGTAGGACAGGACTTCACCATCTGGCCCAGCAGCTGCTCCTAGTTTAAGCAAATGCTTCGTTAGAGTTCACAAAGCCCTCTCTAATTTCCTAATCTGCATGGTTTGATGGCATGCCTATTCTGGAAATGGAATTGATGGTTGTAAGCAATTATCTTAATGCTCCCATCTTTTCTTCTGATAAGCTCGTGTGGTACATGGCTTGAACCTATACTTAAGCAGCGTCTTCTCACTTGCAGGGTAATTCAGAAACTCTCTGCTCTAGGTAGCAAAGGCAGAGGGAAAGAAAGTCTCTCAATGACCACAGACAGGACTGGCTAAATTCTGAGACAAGCTTTGGTTAAAAACTTCTGTTATAATTAAAAAAAAAAAACAAAAAACAACAAAAAACACCCAGAAAAAAAAAACCAACAACAAAAAACCACCATCTTTAAACTCATAATGGAAATGTCTGAG